ATTATAGTAATATGGCCAATTTTCTCAAGAAAGGTTGCCTTCATGAATATACATGTATCTAAATTTCTGACCCATTGCTTTATTGATGTACAGTAATAAAGCATTGGATTTCAAAACAAAAGTTTTTCTGCAGTTTTGATGCAGCATGACGATTGCAAATCTAAGTCAGAGCCAAGATTCCAGGATGGGAACATGAACTTCTTCACCATGGGAGCTAGGACCCACCCAATCTTCCAATTTGCTCCTCGCAAAGTCCATCTCCACCCATGTGATTCCATCCTCGCGCCTCTTTTGTCCCGTCAAATTACAAAACCCTGTAAGTGGCGGGCGACCCCGCTGACCTTACACAAAGTTGGAATTCCACTTGTTACAACAACTAACCCTGTCAAATTCAATCAGTGCTCCAGAGCGAAATGTAATTAAGTGTGTGTCTGTGAAGTGAGTCCGAGCTCGAAATCGTTCTATGACTCCTGGATCAGGAAAAGTTTCAGATACTTTCAGTCCTTTCTGTTCTGAAATGAAAAGAGCTGAATCACCTATGGTTTCGATGATTGAAATCAACGTAGAATTTCTGACAAGAGATTGCTTTCAACAGTGAGCCTTTTCAATGTCCAATATACTTGTAAAAAGAATTTATTTATGATATGTATTTGGAGAAGGGATTACTTTCTCCTAAAATTGAAATCCACTGTGAAGTGGTCAAATTCTATTTTACCATTTCTGAAACCATGTATTTGCCTGTGGGGAAAAAGTGTGCTGACCTTTAATTACTCTTTGTTTACAAAAATACAAAATGAATGCTTCCCTTTTCTGAAGGTTCGCAATTTTGTTTTACAGTTTCAATGATTGGCTGTTACATACACAATTGACACATAGAAAACTTGTAGAGAATTATTTTTGAATGATAGAATCTGGAAACGTTAGGGTATAATACAAAACACAATGTAAAGAATTAAATATATATTTCATAAGGATTTTATATTCGCTTTTGAATGTTTAGATTTGGGGCATCAAACTTTGACATCCAGATCTATAGACTCGAAAAGTTACATGTTTTATTGCTGAAGAATCTAGTCAGATGCTGATGCTCTTTGATTTCAACTAAAGTAGATTGTTTTGTTTGAAAATTAGTATCAAGAGTTCTACACATTTATAAAAGAGGCAATGATTATGCTTACTAGCTCAGTTTAGATTTTAAGCAAGCAAGTTGTCAATTATACTTGCCTGAGCCATCAAGCCTCCCTATTTAGCACCAGAAATACATGCATCTTTCGTCAATACTGATTTGTATATGAAATAAGAGAGGGAGGAAGTTCAGCTCAGATTACTTGTGTAGAGGGGAAGGAACAGTTTAATTACTAGTTCTAGAATTTAAGGGGGAGCCGTATTGCATGACAAAACAAAATTGCTAAATGAATGACCTTGATGATGAATTGATTATCTTAAAGCATGAAGTAGTGGATTTCCTTTGAGTGTCAGATGGCAGAACTGTCTAGGAGGAGAGTAGAGGATTAAACACACTATATGTTTGTTTACAAAGTTGTAGATATTTGATACGACTAGTAACATCATGACTGTGTATGACGTCACTCTACTTTAGAAAAAGTAAGGAAATGAAAAGTTTCTTAACTTTATTAAATACATATATTCCTCTATAATAATAATAATAATAATGTTACTTATAAAGCGCTTACCATCATTATTTGTTATGATTTTAAAGCCTATTTGTTTCCCTTTGCTTTTGTTATTTGATGTTTTGTATGTATTGTACAGATTGTGGATCTGAAGTGAAATCCTGCAAAATGTCATATTCATATTAATTGGGGCATCATGATAAAGGGAAATAAACAGACCTATCGGTCATAACGAATAGAAAGTTAATGATATAAAGAAATATAAAATGGGCCTTGTGACCTTTCTGGTGTTGCTGACATGTACTGTACATCATTCAAGTTTGAGGGTCTGAACTATTGTTGTAAAGAAGTTTCTTATTGGAATAAATTAAAAGTTTTTAAAAAAGTAAGATCAACATTGAACAATCTTTTGAATCTTGCATAGTTTCCTATCCATCTGACTCTGTTGTTTTATCTTAGGCTTATTTACAGCTTTCAAAGTAAAAATTTTCAAATTTGGATTTGATTTTTTTTTCTTTTCTTTTTTCTCAGTTATTTGGAAAGATTGCACCATGTTTAATCACACAACATAGCTCAAATCTACTTTGCAGCACATATATATATATATATAGAAAATGATAACTACATGTACATGTATATATGCAACAGCTGCTCTGACCATCTTCTTCTACATATTTCTATTAAACCCAAATACCATTGCTGTGAGCATCTCACTATCTCTGTATGATATTGTATATTTGACAGTTGGACATAAAGAAAAAAGTTTGTAAGATATCCCATAAATCATCTGGGACTTCTTAAATTCCATCCCTGCCCTTCCCTGCCCTGCCCAGATATATTGGGCCGCTGAGATGCCGCTCTGCCGAAGCAGCGAGATATAGGGTTGGGGGGTAGCTAACTGACCTACATCCAAGTTGCTATAGCCAATCGGAGATCCATGGAAGGCCAGTTTCCCACAGATTTGTTTATTGTTTTTAGATGCTCCCACCCAGACCAAGAGCCGTTCTAGACATCGTTTCGCACAAGTTTCCCAAATCAAATTTTAAATCCTGGCAAAAAATCGTTTCAGAAACTTTCTGATTATATGACATTCTCGCTTTAAGAAAATGTTATCATTCTTCATCATTGAAAGGAAACTACAAGTATATTTAAAGTATTTCTTAAAAGTAAAAACATCTTTTTCTTTTTACATTTTGTCAGCTTTCTCTATTTTTCCTCTTTTTTTTTTTTTTTTTTTTCTTTTTTTTCTTTGGGGGGGGGGGGGGGAGGTGGGTTGCTTTGCGTGTACAGATCAACAAGTGAAGCGTCATGTATATATTCATGTACAGTATGTGTAGGGATTTGAGACCACAGAAACCTCAGATGTTTCATGGAAATAGCAGCTTAGCACTGGTCGATGAACTCTAAACTTGACTTGAGTCATATCAGATGTGTTCTTTTGAAGATCACATACGTGTTCTTCATCATAACAGGGACATAATACATGTACATGTTATAGCAAGCACTTTTTTTTACTGGGAGATTTAAAAAGTTTATTTCTCTATAATGTAGACTGTGTCATCTGTTGATTTTGTGATGATAATGTACTGTTTGTTTGAAATATGTTCTTGTTTTTTTTCTCTTCTTTTTTCCTTATTTGTTGTTTATGATACACTCTCATGCTTATAAAATGCTGTTGAAATTGGTGTTGAAATCTGTATGTATGGTTCATGTCTTCTTTCAAGATAGGAAGAATCAGAGCTACTCTCTCAATTTAAAATAGCAAATAAAGTTACTAACAAATTATGTGCAATATGAATATGATGTAAAAGTCACATGTTCATATCAGTTTCCATTTTTCATCTTATCAGTGGTTTGACTTGCCTTTACCAAATTATTAACTCTCTACAGTGTCATTTTAATGATTTGACAAAAATGACCATGTAATTTAATTACTGTATATTTGATCATGGCCAACATGAAAAGGACTCTTTGATTTGGCCTTTGGTTGTTAATATTTTTGTCTAATTCTGATTATGAATGCAAGCTAGCAATATTGCTAGTCCTTCCCAGTTTTTAAAGAAAATCTATATCAGGAAGGACAGTTTTTCACTCTTTAGTGTTTCCAGGCTGCCAATAGGCCATGAAATTGCTCTTCTGTAGATGGAATTTCATATCTATCAAGATTTTGCCAAGGTCAGTTGATGATTAATGTAAGCAGAGCATCTTCGCTATCATCATCATCATTAAAAATCAATTCAATCTGCCCCTCTTTTCTTTCTCATTCATCTCCCCCCCCCCCCCACCTTTCTCTCTCTCTCTCTCTCTCTCTCTCTCTCTCTCTCTCTCTTTCTCTTTCTCTCTCCCTATCTCTCTCTTTTCTCTCTCTCTCTCTTTCTCTCTCTCTCCCTCTCTTTTACACTCTCTCAACATGCATAGGCCTACCCTTTGATACTTTGATATTCATGAACATTGCTTGCTTTTGTAACAACTATTAGATAAGAGTATGAATGTAATGACTATTTGGGGCGGGGTGAGAAGTTGCCATTTCTTACTTCAGGGCCCAGGTGCACAAAACTTACCATAGATGGTGACTTTGCCATCAATGGTAACTACCATGGAAACCCTGATTTTGATTGGCTGTTGAGCCCTGTTACCATGGTAGTTACCAGTGATGGCAAAGTTACCATTGATGGTAAGTTTTAAGCAACGGGGGCCCGCATGCAGTCAGGTATATAAGCTAACTGCCATACATGTACACAGTTTCTGAGTGAGTCATTGATCATAGCATCACATGGAGGGAGGCACCACCCATCATCAAAGACGGTGACGATTGGGTGCAAAGTTCACACCCCTTTCATATCCCTACTGCAAGACCCTCCTAAAAATAATATTTCTCCTGTTGGGCAAACAGGTGACAAGCCAGGTGTCCTCACATTCTTCTTCAAGGAACAAAATGACCCCAAGAGCAGTCAAGGTCAAGGCATCCATCTGAGAATCAATCGGACAAACTTGTGCTCTATCTTTCTCTTTCTCTTTCTCTTTTTAATTTCTCTGAACTCTATCTCTCTTCTCTACTGATTTGTTTTGAAACCTCCCAGTTTCTCTCATTTTGAGTTGCCAAGTACAGAAAGTTTTTCTTTTTTAGAACATTTTAGTGGAATAAGTTGCTAGGTAGATTGGAAATGCTTTGAAAGTTAATGCAACACTAGTACACTACAGTAACTGAACTCCTTTTAGCACTAGGACAAAGATAGGGATTCAGGGTTGTGCCAAAATATATGTTATAACTTTACCTCTGCCCATGAACCTGAACCTGATCTTGATGTTAACCATAACTATTGTAATAATACCCCACATTTTTGTTTTGTTTTGTTTTGAATACAGAACCTGAAAACCAACCTGAAATTTCATCGGACCAAAGCTCCTTGCCAACTCAACCAGAGGAAGCCTCCAGTGCACCCTCGAGTGCAGATGCTCAACCCACCTGCGAGCCAACAGATCAATTGGCAGCTGACCAAAATACCCCTCCACAGGCGGTAGAAGAGTCCAAACCAGAAGAGCCCATAGTAGATCAAGTAGAGCAGTCCATTTCTAGTCCGGGGGAGTCGACCCCTAAGGAGGGTGACGAGGAAATAGGAGAGGAGAAAAAGGGGTCAACCTCATCAGGGGAAGAAGGAGAGGAGGAGGATGAAGGGGAAGTAGAGGAGGGCAAGCAGAAGAAGAAAAAGAAGAGGAAAGGAATTCTCAATGTCCATTTTCCTCACTTTGGAGGAAAAAAGGGGAAGTCTGGAGAGAAATCCTCTGATCAATCTTCAGACTCCGACCGCGCCCTGTCACCAAAGAGGTTTGGCTGGAAGAAGAGGAAGGATGCAAGATCACCCGAGAGGAAAGGGGAGAAGGAGGAAGAAGTAAGAGTTTGAAGACACATTTTATTTATAATGACCAAGTAATAATTTGCAATATTTCAAAGCTTTTCAAGACAAATTAATTCCTTTAGTAGCATCTCAAGTATTTTTCATTTTGTGTTTCTCTTGGATGAGTATTATTTTTGTCTTAATGAATCCACTATAAGTTACAGTAAATACACTTACTCCAAAAATTTTAAGGCAGTGGAAAGTTCATTTTGGAAACAATTAGATGAAGTTTATACTACATGTACACTGTACATGTGACGTAGCAAAAACACATGAGTGGAAGAAAACAACTTTGAGATCTTAGAAGAAAAAAGTGATATATGTAATCCCAGTGGTATCATTTCAACTCCCCTCCTCCCATTCCTAAAAGAAAAACATGGGAAAGTTCAATTGGACAAATATCATCTTTCCCATAGGAACAATCAAACAAAGGTATGTCAGTTTTAATGTTAACTTGTAACTTCTTTCTTTTCTTTTTTTATTGTGGTCAAGCGACCACCAGAGTGGGGATGTAATTTATGTCTTAAAGTTTTATTCAGGGGTTCTGGGAGGAATTTGAACCATACCAAATTCATGAAGACAGGCATGTGTTTTTACCAAAAGAAGGGTGGAGCACAGTAAGAAAGTTTAATGATCCTGGAAAGATTTACTCCAAAAGATTCTGAAATCATATCTGGAAGAAATTAGAGCTAAATGTTGCACTATGATATGAATAACAACCACAAGTATAAATCTGTTTTGTTGTTGTCAAAATTAGCATCGGGATGAGAAGACTATTCCAAGTTCAATTACAACAAAGGAAATAGAACTGAAAGAACCAATTCCATGAAACCATAGTTGACTATTATTCATGTCACAGCATTCAACATTGTAAACATGGTTTCACATAATTTCCTGAAGATCATAATTATCAATGTCTTCTTCCTTTTTCAGACTCCGGTAGAAGAGAAAGAGAAGTCGGGAGAAGCGGAAGTGGAAGCAAAATCAACCAAAGAGGAACCAGACCAGCAGGAAGTAGAAACACAATCAGGTAACTTAAATGATTGGAAATAACGGAAGATAAACTGTTTGTGATTTATCAAAACAAATTGTTTCCTTTTTGGCAAAACCAAGAGTTATAATCCAATTGAAAGTGAACTTCTGCTGCTGTGGCATTTCTTACTACTTGAGAATTCCCCCCAAAATTATTCCTTTGAAGTTCCTGATGTCCATGCAGATATGGATGTTGGTTAGCTGGACTTTCATTCAGCACATCACCACAGGGCAGCTTTTTATCCCTGACCTTAACTCTAGTTTCCAGGGCAACCTGTAAGAATTGAGCCCTAAATCAAAATACTTTTCTTTCAAAGTGATACACATTCTCATCATGATCCAGATGGGTGGGAAAGTTTTTTTTTCCCTGTCATAGTTTAGAGGTATTATGATAAAGTTGTGATAAGTCAGTGACAGATGATACAACTTTCTTGAAACTTTTTTTTTCCTTCTCTCTCCACGAGCCCTCTACTATCCAAAACATACACTCTCAGTCTCACACTCCTTAAAAGTTTGTATGGACTTTGTTGAAACTTGCATCTTTAAATAGACATGGCAGAGTTAGTCATTTAAATGTTCATCCAGCAAGTAGATACACTTAAAAGCTATGTTTACATAGCACCGCCTTCGAACTTTTAAACTTTAAGTTTGCAAAACTTCAAATTTGTAAACAATGATCCACTAACATTGAGGGTTCATGAGGGACTGAAACAATGATTATTCAAAAAAATTAACTGCAAGCCAAAAAGCATTCATTTTAACTACCAGCTAGCTACCCTCTAAGTAAATCGCTTCTGCATGGCACAAAACCTAAAGATAGGAAGCCATCTCTCGCCATCCCCTGCTCATAGTTATTAAGCTAACCTTAAGATCAACCATGGTTTGTAACTTTAAGTAAACCTAAAGATTTGTTAGGATCCACAAGTGCGTTTACATTGTCCCTTACTATGAGATAACTTGGAAGTTTAAAACCACGACCTAAACTTAAAGTTGATGGACTGTCGTGTGAATCTAACCCATAGTCAAAGTCTGACATTTATTTTTTCATTTTTAAAATTTGTATGCCCCAGTGGTGTCATTGCTTCAACATTCGCACATTTTTCTCTTTGACGTCTATTGACGTGAATAGTCATAGGTTGTGATGAGGTTTGCCCTGGGGACAGGAAATGATTTTCTTATAACTTATGATAATGAATGCAGGTTTAGACAATGAAAATACTTCAGACAATGAAAATACTTCAAAGCTACAAAGGTCGAAAAGTACTAGGAGTACGATGTCTATACATTCGAAATCATGAAATACAACCACGGAAGATTTTATGGAAAGGGTGTCAAGATGCAAAGTGGTATGTGATGAAATGTTTCCAGATTCAGCCTTTTCACCTCCTCTTGCACTAACATGTGATAGGTTAAAATTTACCAAAATGTTATTCATCTAACGTGTTCTCAAACAGGTTACTACCCATAAATTGTATATGCTCCCATCTTGGTACCAGCATTTTAGGCCTGTCCTCATCAGCTCGAGATTGCCAAATATCCCGCTATTTGAACTATCCCGATCGCAAATTATCCAGTTAATTTGCATCCTCATTAGTCCGGAGTTGCAATTAGCGGGATATTTGGTCGAGATAATCATCCTAAGATATCTTGGGCTACAGGTTGTGTAGTTTGCAAAATATCCTGCTATTTGTCCTGTTTGTCTTCACCCGCCCGAAGACTCGCACTATGCGCGAACGCTGAGCCAAATATCTCCAGCTAATTTCTTTAGCTCTAGTTTAAGTTTCGAGGTCAAGTCTTGAGCTGATGAAGCCGCAATTTGTAACTTCAGGATTATTTCCCAAATCAGAAATAGCAGGCTATTTGGCAATCTCAAGCTGATGAAAACAGGCCTTTTATCTTTTTTTTCAGTTCAGGAGCTCCAAATACCCCTGGGAGGTAGGATAAACTCTGAAATTTATGGAGTGAAAGGTTCATCTCCATCAAAACTCCAAGGGCGATAGGAAAACAACATTTACCTTTGCTCCACCATAAATTCTCATTCATGAAAATAAGATGTCCTTGCCCGGGCAACGCATGGTCTATTAAAACTTTACAAACTTTCAGGCTTTGGTTGCATGATCATCTGAAATTTTGTCAAATATGTGCTTTGTATCACAAACAAAACAACAAGGAACTGCCCTTTTTCAAGTAAAGAATTGCACATTCACTGTACCTAGCCTTGAAGCTACAATGGTTGCCAATATTTTAGTATGTATACTTTTTAATCATATTACACTTTACAATCTTGTAGTCTATGATCAGCACGCCAATATCTGCTCATGATTCCCGGATCGAGAGCTGCCTGTGGCAAAGGGCTGCGGAAACCTATTTGTTTAACATATTGCAATTGGATTTGAGAACTTTAATATCCATGTAATGTTTCATCATCCATCATAGTTGAAGACATTTCTTTGTAGGAATGCTTGACATACATAAAACAGACTTCATGAGGACTCTTTGTTTTACCTCTATCATTGATTGTTCATCATGGATAGACATTCTTGATAGGTGAGGCCATTCAAAGTCGAGATAACTTTCCTCTTTTTCTCCTTATTTTCTTTGTTGGGAAGAGAAACTGTGTTAGGTTTTGTACTTAAGATTTGTTTTTTTCTGGATGGTATTGGCAGGCATTTTGGCACATTGTCATTGAAAGTGATGCCTGTGAATTCCCATTTCACAGATGAGTTCTCAACCATGACTCTGACAGGCAAATCACCAGAGGCATCTGTACTTTGAAAGGCTATGGACAATTATGGGTTGAACAGAAAATCAGTAATATGTAAGCTTGAGATACATTGAAATATTGAATGCAAACTGCAAAGCATTTTGAGGTGTACAATGCAAGAACTCAATAGGCCTTTAGTAGTCCCTAATGTGCACTGTACTTATTGGCTGTGTTTCAATATAGATTTTTGCAATCATACAAACCAAGAATTAGTCTTTCACTTTCACATTTGCACTATATTCAAATGACAAAACTTGAAAACAAAGCTAACACACTGAGATTTCACAGGACACCCAAAATAACCCTGATAGTGTTTGGATCAATATCCCTTCTGGCTCAGTGTACTCTAAACTCAAGTAATTGAAATCCACCCTCAATTAGTAGCTTTCTATCACCAGATAATACTAATGAAGAATACCATTGATTATTGTCCTACCCACATCAATACAATAGGATTGTACTTCCTGTACCTACATGTACATGGGGGGGGGGGGGGTTACATTAATCAGACATACATATAAATAACAATCTCTAATTAGATTGAGCAGAGAAAAATACATTTGAAGGAAACAAAATTCAATGTTCTCAGCAAAATAGTCAATGAATAGCCCAGGCATGACAGTCCAAGATCTCATCATTTTTGTTATTGTTCTTGTTTAATCCCACAATCCTATAATTGATCATTTGCCAGTGTATTTATTGAAGAAGAAATATCTTGCCCTAAAATGTTATGACAATTATACCAACCTGTATGCATATTTTTAAATCACTATGTGAAGATTTGAAGGAAGCTGCAAGAATACTACAGATATTTGCACAATTTAGTAGTTATTCCAGTGTTTTAATGAAAAAGGTTACCCATACAAAATATAACATATTCGGCAGTTTTTATGGGTGTGGTGTATAAGCATGCCTGACTTGATGGATAGCATAAATCTTAAATTTTATGAACATAGTTCTGTTTTTATGCCACTCCCATCATGCATTTTTGCAAATTTTACCTTTCCACAGCGATAAAATTGAAATTGCTACCTTGTTTAGTTTCTAATTTTGTCATAAATCAAATAATATTTTCTCACTCATTTTTAAATACCTGAAATGGTCTGGTTTTCATTGTGGTTTAATATTAGAGTTCATTGGCATACCTCTTTATCTTATCCAGGACCTTGTGTTTTATTTCCACAATTCATTAAAGTGGTGAGAGAATCAGTCACAACTAAACAGTTTTACAAGTGATATATGTAGACTAATTTAGTCTAGTGTTTTGGGGTGGGAAAGTACATGTACATGTATATGATACCTGCTTTTGCAACATTTTATAGAAATACATGTATGGCTTGTTTTTATATTTCCTTAAAATTTCAATTTTATTTCCCAATTGTGTAAGAAATTAGCATTATTCCATATTGGACAGTATGTTATGTTACACGTTTTGAATACTGATGAGATTTACACTGTTATCAAGTGAAGAAACATTTACATGGTTGAATGCAGTGCAGTCATCCTTTCAAAGTTCAATTTCACACTCTTGCTTTTTATACTCTGATGAACTTTAATGAAGAAAAAAAATATCCAGCCTCAGTACATCAGTATGTTGCACATGATAGCCTAATAGACAATTAGACATTAAAAAAAAAACTTGTATTTAAAGGGAAAGTCCACCCCCAAAATAAGTTTGTTTCGATAGAGGCAGAATAATAAGAAAATCAGGGGAGTGAAAGTTTGAGCAAATTCTGAATGAAAATAAGAAAGTTATGAATTATTGAAGTTGTGATCAATCAAATACAAATTGGCAACTCTGTGACTTATTATACGAGCTCTCCTTCATTTGCTTTGTGCATAATATTCCATAAAATCATGTTTTCTTCGTTATTGATGACGGAATATATATTTGTTCCTTGCAGGGGGAGTATAGAAACATATTTGCAATTATTATATTTAGGGTGCATGTATGGTTGAAATTTTTCTTGAGGGAAAATGAAAATTTTAGAATTTTTTAGTACTGAGCAAATGGAAGTTGAGCTCGCATGATACGTCATAGAGTTGCCAATTTGTGTTTGATTGATCACAACTTCAAAAATCCTAACTTCCTTATTTTTAATCGGAATTTACTCAAACTTTCACTGACTTGTTTCTCTCATTTTTCTACTCCTATTAAAACTAACTTAATTTCAGGGTGGACTTTCCCTTTAAACTCCTTTCATACAATACTAGCTAATAGGTGTGTGATCCCCCCCCCCCCCCCCCCCCCCCCCCCCGCGAAAAGCAAAATATAGTGTCTACAACATAGAGGATTTAAGAGAACAATTGTGCTTATTCATCATTTTCTTCTCGTAGTGTAGCTTTACAGAAACAAGCTGCATTTCCGGCAATAGGTATCATCATTTCTGCTCCCATCATGCTACATGTAAATAAAATTCCAAATTCCTCAAATAAGAGAAAGGGCCTGTCACTAAATATTGCCTTCAGTTATTTTTTCATCAAACATCTGTTCCCTTTGAACATTTGTTTTGTTCCCCAGAGTTCTGCCATGTTTTGAAAATCTGGTATATTGTTGTTATCCTTTTACCAGAATGTGGAATGTTTGATATATTACTGTCCTCAATATGCTCCATTCATAGGTACATATATTTCTCTCTGTTGGTTGAGATAAAGCATTACAAGATAATTCATAAGAAATATACATTTTAAACCTATATGAGTATAAGTTCTATGACTTGAAAGGAACAAGGAAAATACTATCTTCATTATTGGGTTCCTCTGACAGATTTGTGTTGTATAACTACATTTATTCCCTCTTCTTAATATTCCAATTTTTCTTTGGAGAAAGAGGCCAACTTATTATAGGGATGAAAGCACTTTTATCATGCCAGTATAAAAGAAATCACCAAGACACATATTTCAAAATTTAGAAATAAGCTCTCGGGCAAGATTGATTTCTCCCAATAGACTTCAAAGTAGGGTTGAACCTCAAATAGAATACCAGGTATGATTGCCTCAGAGAATGAAATGAAATCAGAAATATTTCCCACAGAAATGCTCTCTGTAACCCAAACAAGGATAGAATGGTGTTAGGATTACATTGTGTTGTCAGCAATAGTTTTGACTTTCCACATTTCAGCATTTCAGAAGGAATTCATAAATCTGATCTGGCTTGAAATCATTGGGGATTGTAAGAGTGAGCCAAAGAGAAACTTGTCCTTAAATAAAGAAGTTAGTTGTGGTTATCCTGATTCCTCTATGGTTTCAAATGAAATGGGGCGTTACATTCCCGCCCTAGAAATATTTAGAATGCACTTTTATTCCCTTTCCCTAAGAAGCTTACATGGATTCAGCTTCTCTGCATGCTGAAGAATTGGCATTAGTTCAAATTACTAGTGGAGTGAAATGTTTGACCGAACTGAGGGAAAAGATTATTTATGGAATGAATTTCAATCAATAATTTATTGTGTTTCTACATTTTGTAATCTGATCACATGCAGAGTGTGATTTGTGGCAAAAATTAGGATTGATACAACTTTTACATGGACTTGGTTCAAATTCCAGAGGATTTTTCCTCTTGTTGGCAAAGTGGAAATGTAATTCGAGAGGGTAAAACTTTCTTGTCATAGTGTGATTTGTTTCAGTCATTTGGATGACTGATAGCACACTGGGGGGAATTTAAATTACATTTTTAAGAAGAAAAATGATGCTGGAGAAGGTGAATAGTTTGGAACAGTTATTAATTTTATTGTTATATAGGAAGCCAAAAGGATATTCAGATGAGAGGGATTTTTTTGTATCAAATGATTGAGATTTCCAGTCTTTAGGGAATACTAGGAATGGATTTACATGAATGTTTTTTTCTCAATAAGAAAACAGAACGTTAATCCACTATCAGATGCCTGTGGAACCAGGAAGTTAACTAAAATAACTGCATTACCCCCATCATGAACAGCTCTAGTTTAATTCTCTGAAGTTTTTATGACAAGGTAGTCTCTGATCCATTTTGTATGGGGCACAAAAGAAATGTGGAAATGGATCCGCGGAATAGCAATCTCCAAACTTCATGTATGATTTTGATCATTTAATGTGTACAAATGAAAATGATCATCAACTCTTTACTGCACACAGTTACATAAGTTATAACAGTAATCGTAAACATTGTTTATTTCTATCAATATTTCTAGGGATTGCTACTTCACTAGATATAGCCGTCCAGGGACCAGATGTTGCCGTCGTATCACCACCTGAAGCCAATGCTACTATTCAAGGATCTGTTGAAGTAGACATCAGACCAGAAGAGAAGGTCCTAGCAGAATGTAAGGAGCTGGTGAAGGATGATGGAGAAGAAACCCCAGGGGAGGAGAACACCAAGGGGGATTTTTCTTCCACTGATGCACTCCTGGAGCAGATAGCTGAGACAATCACTTCAATTGAAAAAGCACAAAACCTTAGAGCTTCACAGGTATGAATGTCATATCAAGTTAAGTGTGATCAATTTTGTTTTGAGATGATTACATTTTATTGAGGTTTACATTGTATGTCTATTCAAATCATTTTAGATGTAAAGATGATGGGCTATGATGGTAATCTGTGTTTACCAATATCTGGTACTACTGGTATGAAATGTATTGTAGCATCCATTATTCCATATATTTACATTTCAGTACAAAAGAGTATATTTTATATATCAACCCTTCTTTTATTTCTCCCAAAAATGAATCTCAATTATCATGAATAGCCTGTTGTGTGCAGCCTTCTTATAGCAATTGTTTAAAACCTAGAGACACGCAAGTATGCCTATGTGTTATGCACTATACAAAAACATTTACCGTAATGATTATTATTATTATTAATAAGAATCTTTTAAAGTCACTTCAGCATATTGCATAACAAGCACCTTGTATGTTTTCAACTATCTGGTAATCATTACCACTTTATTCTTGAATGATAATTCTTCCTACCGAATAGGCAATGGATGTGAATGTCTTAGCCGACACTGCACCAGGAGACAAGGAAGAGCAAGATGAATCTGGTCTGGACCTCCGGGCTGACATCCCTAGTCATGTTGATGAGCAGGGCATCAACATACCCTCAGCTCAGATAACCCTAGCTGTCCCAACCGAGAGCACACTCCTTGAAGTGTCAGAAGAAGAAAAATCAGACAACCAACCTGTGGAGGAGGCTGGAGATGAGGCGAAGGAAGGCGCGACAGAAAACGATGATCAATCAGGTGGGGATTATTCAAAGTTTTAGATGAAAGTGTAAACTATTGAAATGATCCGAGTTTTATGATCTGTTTGTAATGATGTATTGAAAACATAAATTATACATTTTACAGATATTAGTTGCTGTTTAGTATTCCTACAGCATGCAGACTTTCGTTTTGTCCCATTGTTATTTTTTTGTTTGTTATGATACACAAAGGAGAGACAGAAAAACAAATCTCATTTTGTTGTACAAAATTTAGATTTTGGTATATTGTATATAGAAAGCTAACCAATGTCCTCATATTACAATGTTGAAATGTTAGTCATTATAGTTCCCTACATTTTTCATTTCAGGTGCAACTGATGTGAAAGAAACTCAGGAAGTTGAAGGCTCACCGTCACCAGGGAAGAGCCCAAGGTTCAAGCTTCATCTGCCTAAGTTTCATCTCCCCAAGATGCACCTCAGTGGCAAGAAAGACAAAAAGAAACAGGAGACTGCACCAGCAGTAGAGGAGGGGGGCAAGGAAGTCCCATCACAAGATGATGGACCCTTTGCAGAGCGACTTGATGGAGATGGAGCAGAGAAAGAGGATGGGCTGGATGTCGTCAGAGCTGATGTAGTTGTCACTGCTGATGTGGGCGTCACTGCCGACGAAAATGTCGCCGTCAGTGCTGATGTGGGCGTCACTGCCGATGAAAATGTCCCTGTCACTGCTGATGTGGGCGTCACTGCCGATGAGAATGTCCCTGTCGGTGCTGGTGGTCTTGATGTCCCAGATGGCATAGTTCCAGAGAACGAGCGTGCAGATGAAACAATCGCTGCCATATTAAGTAGTGCTTCTGCTGATGGAGGAGTCTCTGTTTCTCTTGAGGCCCCCAATGTTTCAACAGAAGTTGATGAAAATATTAAGCCTAAGTTGGACAGTATCGTAGAGGCGGAAGTTCCTTCTGCTCAAATTGAGGGAGGGTTGGGTGTGTCAGCTGCACTGCCATCTGTAGATGCTAATGTTGATGCCTCTGGTGTATCTGCCGCTCTTGATATGAACAGCCCTGCCCTTGACATAAATTGTGCTGTAAATGGGCCAGAGGTTCAGGAGGTGGTTGTGGTAATGAATGAGGGAACGTCTGAAGAAGACGATGTGGTGGGAGATAAGAAAGAAGATACCTCAGAGGAACTAGTGGACACTAAGATCAAGTCATCCAAGAAAGGGCGCTTTAAGATGCCCTCCATCAATTTCCACATGCCAAAGTTCGGAGGAAGCAAGAAATCATACAAGGTCGATACAGAGGTCAATGCAGGTTCAGAGAATTGCATTGTGGAAGGACAGGCCAATGGGATTGAACCAGATATTCAATTAGGAGAAAATGTGATCCCAGAGGTTGAAGGAAATGCATCCATTCAGGTTGAAGGTGAATTGCAGACAAAGGTGGATGCAGAGGTAAATGCAGGTGGTGGAGACATATCGATAGAGCCTGAGGTACCAGACATAGAAATCCCAGAATGCAGAATAGAGGCACCAGAATGTAGCAAGATGGAGTTAGATGGAGGCGATCTTAATGTTGAAGGAACAGCTTTAGCAGTTTCTGCAGATGTAGATTGTGCAAAACCATGCATCAGTATTGAGACTGATACTTGTAATACATGTGTTGAGCAGTCTGTTGATGCTAACAACGATGTGACGCTAGAAACAGAGACAACAGTCCCAGAGGTTGCAGCTAATGTTGAAATTCCTTGTGAAAGTGGGGAATTATCAGTGAAAGATCAAGGAATTTCTGCCAGTGTAGATGCTCCAGAGATTGAAGCCCATGTTGAAGTTCCTAGTGTATCTGTGACTGTTGAGGAACCACCTGCACCTGCTCTTGATCAGGATGCCAGCGTCAAAGCAAAGAAGAAAGGACTGTCCCTGCCTAAAATGCATTTCCGTCAAAAATTCACAGGAAAGAAGCACCCTCGCTTTAGATCAAAAACCAAGGAAAGTAAATCTTTGAGTGCTAGTGGCAAAGTTACGACAAGCCTGCCTAACGTTGCAACAGCTACATCCTTGGAAACTCCACTGTCAGGGGAGGAGATGAGGGCTAGAAGGGCGTCTGACGCCGCTGATATTGCAGCAGAGCATGAAATTGGTGCAGCTGGAGACCTTGATGAAACACCCGGGAAGTCCAAGAGAAGCAGATTCCACTTCCCAAATCTTCACTTCTCTCTGCCAAGATTCTCCTCACTCCTGTCACCACACAAACCTAAAAATACTGTGGAAGTTGAAGAGCCAGAGATGACTGAGCGCAAAGCAGAAGTGGAAATACTGGACGTCACAGCAGAAGCAGACATACCTAAGACAAATCTGGATGTTGTTATGCCAGAGGTCTCAGGGATGGCAGAGTCTGCACCCGAAGTGTCTGTTGAAGGAGCTGTTGGAGGAGTTGAAGGAGCTGTAGGAGGAGTTGACATTTCAGGATCCGAGAAGGTTGCAACAGATGTTGATCGAGCAACTAGCCCTCTTGCTCTGGCGATTGAAGATCCTTTCCCTGAAGTGAAACTTGATGTCGATCCAGTCAGTGTAGAAGTAGATCTGCCAGACATCAGTACCACAGATTCTACAGTTATTGAAGGAGAGAGTGCTGTAGAACAGCCAGATGTTGCTTTGAATATCCCTAAAGCAGATAGTCTTAATGTTGATGGTGCACTAAGTGCAGAAGCTGCTGTTGAGTCACCAGAGGTAAATGTCAGTGATGCAAACACCAGCAGTGGAGAAAAGAAGAACAAAAAGAAAAGCTTTTTGCCTAATATGCATCTTCCAAAATTTCACATGAAAGGAACACCGATCAAGTTTAGATCAAAGGGAAAGAAAGAAACTGTAGAAACCCCAGATTTTGAGGATGGAGTGAAAGTGGGAGGAGATGTCAATACTGATGTGAGCTTTGAGACTCCTCACTCTCCAGATTTGAGCATGGTTGTCAATACCTCTGGAGACCCCAATGTGACAGTAGAAGGAGACGGCAAAATTCAAAATTCAGATGTTGAAGCCAGAGACGTGCAGACGATTTCATGTGATAGTGAAATCCCTCGGATCAATGTTGCTGCTGATGCAGATATTGTGGTGAAGAAATCAGAGATTGATGTCAAATCACCACGCAATGAAGTTGGGGCATTAGTGGGTAATCTCTCGGATACAAATGTTGATCTTCCCAAAGTAGAGTCCAACCTTGATGTTGAGGGAAAACTAAGTGGAGAAGGCAAACCATCAGTACCTGATGTGGACGTATCAGCAGATTATCCTGACACTTTACCAGTAGCAGGAACTGTGGTAATCGCATATGACACAATTGTCGAGTCAGAAAATGGTGGAGTTGAGGCGTCCATAGAGAACATTGATGGACAAGGTAAATTGGACATTGAGACAGATATCAAGACACCAGATGTGGAAGTCCATTCTGGAGCTACAAATCATGTCCTTGATCTTGCATTAGGAGGTGCTGCAGATCAGGAGCTGAAAGTTGATGGAAACATCGCTAACCTCAACATCCCATCGTCAGACAATGAGGAGAGTGATACAAAGGAGAAGCAGAAAAAGAAGAAGAAGAGAAAGGGTCTCCACATGCCATCTATTAACTTGCCAAAGTTTCATCTCAGGCATGATAAGAAACAATCTGCAAGTGTTGGTGCCAATCTTCCTGATGTGGTTGTACCCAACGGACAAGTAGATGGAGCAGGCATCGACATGCAGGCAAGCACCCCTGAGGTTGTTGTGCCAGAGAATGAGCCTTCAGTCAAAGCAGAAGTGAATGTCCAATGCAAGACTGATGTAGGCAGTGAGGTAGAGAAGAAGCCTCTTTCTGCTTTAGGAGCTGCTGCAGTTGTAGCATGTGTAGCAATGGAAGTGGGCTATTCGGAAGTTGAAGTTGAAGAACCAAAGGCAAGTCTATCTGTTAATATGAAGGCAGATCTTCCTGAATCTGCAGAAGGAACTGTGAACACATCTGCTGTCATGGAGACACCCAGTGTGGAGCTAGACGTTGGTCCAAAGGTCGATCAAGTAGTAGAAGAAGTTGTTCCTTCAGTCAGCCAGGCAGTAGCAGAAACTTTGCCAGACATGGCAACATCTGAGGATGCTCCCAGCAAAGATGTCACAGTAGATACTTCAAATGAAACTTCAGGATTGGCATCACCAGAGGTTGAAGTTGATGATAGCTGTCTTGATGCCGAGGTTGCGCTTAACGACTCATCTACCTCAACACCATCCAAGTCGAAGAAGACCAGAATGCGGAAAATCAACTTCCCCAAAATGAACTTCAAATTGTCTCCTCACAAATCTGGAGTAGTGAGTCATAGTGCACCAGAAGATGTCGAGGAATCAACTGATAATTCATTGACTCCTGCAGAGATTGAAAAGATAGAGGAAGCCCTTCCATCAGGTCAGGCGCATGTACCCGTACCAACTGTAGAAATCAATGGTGTCGGTACAGAAGTTGCTGATGATGACGTGACCTCTTCCGCAAAGAAAGGAAAATACAGGAAGAGGATAGGAGGTAAACTCAAGAAAATCAGAGGGAAGAGCAAAGGGAAGGTTTCGGTTTCAGAGGACATCAAAGGAGAAGGATTAACAGCTGGAGTGTCATTAGAAGCCGCCGGAGAGCCAAATACAAATGGGAGCATAGATCTTGACGCTGGCAATGTGGATGGTCTGGAGAATGGCCTATGCAGCACACAGGAGGCAGATGTCGGTGCTGATATTACTTTTGATTCTGGTAAGCTCAAGATTTATATTTTGCTAGACCTTCGTTGACATTTTTGGAACATTCCAAGAATTACAATATCTAAACAAGAAATGTTTTCAGCAAATAATGTTAATATGGGCATGTGAACAGATCATCAAAGATTTTATCTGTCGAGGCTATATCAATCCTATCTTTTTCATAAGAAAAGTTGAACTTTTTAACATGTAAATGGTCATCTGTTCTTCTTATTCCATCAAAATAGCTACTAGAACATTGAATTCCTGAATGTTTTTTTTTCTTTTTTTCATGAGAATTTTTGCTTCACTGCCTTGTTCCATAGCTAAACTTATCCGCAGACATTCTATCCAGTCTATGTTTCTTGCACAGATACCTGTCATAGGCCAAGAGTGTCCATCATTCATTGGCAAGTGGGGGTCAGAGGTCATGTGTAGAGTTTACTTACTGACATGTGATTGGGGGTGATGAATGACTCGGTGAAACTTTCCTAACCGTTTCCAAAAGTGGAGATGATTTTTGGTGGCAATAACATCTTCTTTTTTCATTGCGTAAGTGGATTTGTTAGGCATTCTTGTTAAGCAGCCAAATTGATGTACAAATTTGATTGTGTATACCTAGGTTCTTTGCAGGCTTGTTTTTGTTTTGGTCATGTGAATGAATTATTTGTAATGCCAGTTTGTTGAAGCCGTTGTTTTAGAACTGAAGGCCTACATTTGATCTCTTTCTTGTCTTTGGTTTTTCTTCTACTGAATTGCTGGTTTATTTCTATTTTATTTTAAGTATTTGGCATATTCGTATACCGGTAATGATTTTCTGTTTATCTAGTTCTATATCTTCTGCTTTGTCTGAAGAATTTTCATAACTATCACCCAATGACAAAACCATCTCTATAAAAAGCAAGCTCAAGATAATTATTGGACTTCTATTTATTCAGTTATTACTTAATATAATACATGCACACTACAGATTCTGTTAATAATGTTGAGACATGTTTCAAGTTCCTGTGAATATTACACCTCCAGGGTTTTTTCCCTTTAAGGTAAACAAGTGTTATCAAATGCACAAGAAAAGAAAAAATGTTATGAGAAGCATTTGTCATGAGTATAACCACAACCCATTGAAGATAACTATTTAAAGTCAGTAGTGACAGATGATATTCCCTTCCTAACAGTAACAAATTGTATCAAGGAGAGTGTGAATATATGGAATGGTTTTGAGATATCTAAATAATCATATTTACTCTGGAATTTGCCTTGTATGTGTGGTGAAAATTCTTTCCTCAAATCCTTAACTGTAATGAGTAGGTGTAGAGTGCCACTCAGGTCCCTGTCATTAGGTACTTTCCAAAAGTACTTTTACCTCTATGTCATGTCATGTTGGTATGTGATGGACCTTCATGTAAACTCTAATATGGTATAGGGACAGAACTTTACTGAACATTGAGTCCTATCTTTTTTATTCCCGTATTTGAGTGGTCTACGTGCCAAAATGGACATTGCATTATCCCACTTTGCTCGAGGGGGTTACAACTCAAGAGGATAAGGAAATCATTGACAGTTTTACAAGCTCTTATTTTTGTACCATATTTCTCCACTTTTTTTTGTTGCTTTCTTTCTTCTGTCATTCTGAGGTTGTTTTCTCCCAAGACCTGGTCGGGGGCCCAGTGATGCGGGGAAGAGGTGAAACAAGTTATCGGTATTGGTATGCCAAAGATAGGCATTTATGGGTACTTGATGATTGTGGAGGGGGGGGGGGGGGAGTGTTGACTCTGTTGAGGCCCTATTCATCAGATAACTTCAAAATCAAATTCCTGCTCTTCAGTATTAGCCCATCATGGGTTTTTTTGTTTTTTTTTGGAGGGGGGTGAAAAAACCCAATACTAGTGTCTGGAAAAAAACATATAACTTGGGTTCAGTTGATTTTACATCCATCTTAATGATGAATTTGCAATGTCTGACATGGATGGCAATGCCAAAGTTTCACTTTATTATCATTTTCAGGCATGCTCTTTCCAATTTTTTCTTTCTAGTTTCAGCAAAAGCTTACTAAATTCATTTTACTTATGAATTTGTATCAAAAGACATACTCAAAGGAATTGTAATCACACCTTTTTCAGTCAGATATTTTTTTTCAAAGATTCATTGCAGCTGAGAGAATTGTTGGTCCTAAGCAATATAAAATATGTATTTTGAGTGAGGAAGGATAGAGGAAAAAGTTTAAAAAAAGAATTGCAAGTGAGTTTGCATGACCACTACTCCCACTAGGAATGTTATGTTGATTATAGCCAAAATTGCAGATTGAAAATGGAATGTACGGACAAATGTAAAGTACTTTGTATGAACTTGGCGGCAGTCTGGAAGGAACTAAGTTTACTGAAGCTTAGTCATTTTAAATTGATTCATATTTATATGATTACATATCCCAAACAGAACATGCTCTGTGGTTTTTGATCAAGTTAGCCACAGCACTGATCATAGGCCTTGTGCCTAGACAAAAAGAAAACAAAGATACTAGTATGATCCAATCGGAGACATTTTTATTTTTCATGCTTGCACATTGTTAGTGGGGGACCAAATGTAGGGCACAATTGTTTAAGCGGTATCCATTTTCATCCAGAGCTATCGCATATCACATTTCAAGCTACAAACTCATGTATCATGTATGTAAGGAGGATACCCAGAGGTGAGTGTACTGTAGGTGTCATCATGAGAAATATGAGAATGTTTAGTGAACATAGCAACCCTACGCTCCCATAGAGTTCCACGCTTGGCTTCTCTTCTCTTTTCTTTTCTTCTTTTCTTTTTTTTTTCAGTCGCTTCTTCATCCTTCAATACTTTATCTGATAGATGTATATACATCTGCATCATATGTTGAGATATTTTTTTGTAATTTCCTTTAGATTTCATTTTTTTATGTTTCTCATAACTCAAGCATGAAAGGTGGACTGGTTGAATTAGGGCCTTTGTTCAATACTTTTAGTTGTATGCTTTGATGTGTCACATTTTAAAGACAAACATCAGGACAAATCACTTTTGTCCAACTGTACATAATAATTTTTATTTTTGTTTTTAGCTACACCCCCAGACAGTTATCAATGGAAATTTTCAAAATATCAAACTGAAAAATACTGACAAAGCTTGTGTATTTATTGCACAGACTGCACATATTTCCCATTGAGCATGGCTAGATCTGTGGCAAAATAAAATCAGATAAAGAAATTGTGGTTTTAAATTATTGGGGCTTTCCTGGAATATATACAGAGTGATTGATAGATCTGTTTCATTGTATAGGCCTTTATAGAACTCTGGCACCATCTGTAGAGCTGTGCTTGATCTCACATGTATCTTTGCATCTAGGCCTATTAAGTTCAATGCCCCAAGTCCAGGCTAACTGTCATAAACTTCTTAGGAAGTAAAACCAATTTAATCTATATCTGTCCTCTCAGCTAAGTTGTTCTATGAATTACTTCACCAAATCATTACTAAAGTGATCTATCAAAACCTCATCAAAGTGGGGTATGGGTAGTTGAAGAGAAATAAAATTGTAACAAAGTTGAAAGTAATCCAAGAAGTCTTCCAGAAACCGATACTCCTATGATCTGAAATTCAGCCAACTTCAGAGGTTCCCTAAACTCCCATTGTCAAGTGCTTCAGGCTACTTGTTCCTTCCCATAACATCTTAATTGGTCACCAAATATTCAATGACCAACAACCCCAGCCTTGTCCTCAGGACCCTGGGGACTAACTACTCCTGATGACCCTAGATGACCTTTTGGTGACCCCAGGTGACCTCTGTATTTGCTTCAGACCCTAGATGCCCCAGGTTCTAGATGAAGAATGATAATTTAGCAGTGAATCTTTCATCTTGGTTATGCTCTGATTCTCGTTATTTTCCCATGAAATCTAGACTTTTCTTTCTCTTTCTTTGTTTTCCTTATCTGCCATCTTTATCTGCCATCTTTATCTGCCATCTTTATCTGTTGACTGCTTGCATTCTGTATGTTTGCAGTTTGGTCAAAACTTTGTCTTGTAATGGATTCCTTTTCTTCTCCTCCTCGTCATCCTCTTCTCATCTCTCCTATATTCTACTCATTTCACTCCCTCCACTTCTCTCCCTGTCTCTCTCCCTGTCTCTCCCTGTCTCTCCCTCTCTCTCCCTCTCTTACTTGTTCCATTTCTCTCTCTGTTTCTTTTTGTTTGTTATCTGTTTTCATCTCTGTCATCATCTCTGTCTTTTGTCTTCTCATGATAATATCAGCAATCAGCACCAGCATTATACTAAAGAGAAAGTAGTCCAATACTCTTGTCGCTAGCCTCTCTTCCTTTTCTTTTACTCATTTTTAAAAATCGCTGAATGAGCAAGAGATAGAGATGAAAGTAAGTTCCATCTTTTTTTTATTACCTTTTATAGGAATGAAATATAGTAACTCTCCCTCATGCTTTTGTAAACTCGTTTTAAATATAGCTTTCAATTCTATTGAAATGCACCTTCCCTGGAGAAAACTTGGCTTGAAGATGGGGGGGGGGGGGGAGGAGAAGAAAACCTTAATATTGAGAAGAATGTATACTAATCTTCATGACATTGGAGGGAATAAGCATACAAACTAAATGCCTATTTTTGGCATACCTGGCATTTTATAGGGCTATTTGGTGATGATGATAGCTTGTAATTTATGGTAAACGAACTCGACCTGGAATGTAGAAAGAAAATGAAAATAATATTACTAAAAATAACGGCCACAAGATATTTCTCTACATGTTCACTTCATAAATTTTGCACTTGTCATGTTTGCTAGAATATCATATGACCTACTTCTATTCTGATATGAAACCAGTTGGTGAGAGCAATTCCTCTTAGGCAATGTGCACGTGTGCCAACAATATGGTCCTGATTTCCCCATCAGTATCTTGAGATTATACCACACTCTCAGTTTGTCTATTGTTTATTGTCTGTCTATATTGTTTTCATCGCACACCTGTACCCAGGCAAATTTCCTTTTTATGTCTACATAC